TTTTTTTGCGAAAACACAATATTTTTTAATTATTTTACCCCCTTTATTTACAAATATTTTCACCCCCCCCCCCCCCCCCCCCCAAAAAAAAAAGGATGCAACTACTCTTTAGTATGGAAAATAGCTCTTGAAAAGGTCTACAATATTCTGAATAAACAAACTCTATATATCATTGGCTCAATCCTTTATAGGTCAAATACGAGCCCAATAACACCTAAAAGTCAATACAACTGATGTTTTAGCCATTTTACTCACACAAATAAGAGAGGATGCAACCAGTCTTTAGTACAAAAAACTATCTCTGGAGAAGCTCTACAATATCTGTTGATAGGAAACTTAACGAAGACTGGCAGCCGGATCTGTCAGTTGACTACTAGTCTTTTCGAACAACCGACCGGTGCTCGGGAGATCTGGCTTCGTTTCCTGTTTTGATTTTGTGATACTCACTCGACAAGAGCTCGAGTTTGTCAGGAAAAAACATGAAGTTCTCGTGAAGAAGTTTCGAGCTTTCAGGAAAAAATATGAACCCCTTGTCAAGCAACGTGTTCTTTAGGAAAAAAAGACTCTTGTGACGAAGTATCGAGCTTTTCAGCACAAAAGATGAAGCTCTTGTGAAACGTCCAGTTATTCAGGAAAAAGAATAATGTTTTTGTGAAGGAAGAACGAGTTTTTCTTGAAACACCCTTAAGTTCTTGTGGAAAAGTATCGAGCTTTTCAGGAAAAAAGATGAAGCTCTTGTCTAGAAACCTGGTGCTTTTTAGGAGAAAATATGAAGTTCTTGTGACGAAGTATCGAGCTTTTCAGGAAAGAAGATGACGCCCTCGTGGAGAATTAGCGAGGTTTTCTAGAAAAAACATGAAGTTCGAGTGAATGCCGGATATATAGTCATCTTTTGAAGACTTGGGAGAAAATCAGGTAGTTTAACCGTAGAACAACCGACCAGTTATCGGAAGATATGGGTTCGTTTCCTGTTCTGATTTTGTGATGGTCGTTCGACAAAAGCTCGAGTTTGTCAGGGAAAAACATGAAGCTCTTCTGAAACATCGACTTATTGAGGAAAAGGGTGATGTTCTTGCGACGAAAGACCGAGTTTTCCATGGAAAACGATTAAGTTCTTGTGGAAAAGTATCGAGCTTTTTAGGAAAAAAGATGAAACTCTAGCGAGGACGTATCGAGCTTTACAGGGCAAAAAAGACAAAGTTCTTGCGAAGGAGTTTCGAGCTTTTCAGGAAAACACATGAAGCTCTTGTGAAACGTCTAGTTTTTGAGGAGAAGGATGATGTTCTTGCGAAGAAAGATATAGAGCTTTTCATTGAAAAAAGATGAAGCTCTTGTGAAACATTGAGTTATTGAGGAAGAGGATGATGTTCTTGCCAAGAGAGACCGACTTCTGCGCGAAAAACGGTCAGGTTTCTGTGGAAAAGTTTCAAGCTTTTGAGGGACAAAGATGAAGTTCCGATGAAACGTCGAGTCATTGAGGAAAAAGAATTATGTTCTTGCGAAGAAAGACTGAGTTTTTCAGCAAAAAAGATGAAGTTCTCGTGGATAACCAGCGAACGTTTCCGCTAAAAACAATGAAGCTCGAGTCAATGCCGGATATGCCGTCTTATTTTGAAGACTACATAGAATATCAAGTAGTTTTCAAAAATAAAATAAAAGACCTGTGATAGTTAAATATCCTGTTGCAGAACATCGTATGAATGAAATACATTATTGTAGATTTTGAGTTGGCTTTAGTCAACTAAAGGACGATTTGTATAAACCAAAATTAATATCTGATCCTTTCTGTTTATGTGGGGCTGTTGAAACTAGTGAACATTTTTTCTTCCATTGTTCTCTGTATAATATTGAACGTTCCTTATTGTTTGATGAGGTATTGAAGTTATTGTCTATGGCCTCAACTATTTCTATGCCCATGCTGATGTTGTGCGATCTGCAATTATCGCATGATGAATGCGATGGCATTTATTATCCTGTGTTGCGGTATATAAATGCGACAAAGCGTTTTGCAAGTTCGATCTGAGTAACCTTCAGTTCTAGTATATCCAACTGCCTCTTTGACCTGTTAGCAACTTCCGTTGTCTTTATTGTTATTTCTTTTTATCATTATATTTTATTTTGAATCTTTGTTTTAAGAAGGAATTGTACAAAGAATGCTTATGCAACCCCGGAACACACAAAGCGCTATCCTCACTTTTTATTCTCTGCCCAATTTTTTTTTTATTTTTTATTTTGTTTCAACTCTTCTCCTTGTTTTCTTTACTATTGATCTTTTACTTGTTTTGTCTTTCTGTACTCTTGTTTATTGTTGGCAAAATAGTGCTACAGTAGACTCTTTGCATTTATTTTTCTCTTTCTTTCAATAAAACGTTTAAACTAAAGTTAAAAATTTGTTCTTCGTCTATTTTATTTGCATATTTCATTCAGATATTCTAACTCAAATTTACTCAATTACATACGATATTTCATTTTAATTATTTTTGTTAATACCTGTGTTTTGCTAAATGTAATAGTTATTCATTAATAGACTTCATATTTACCTTAACTTTTCGGTGCTGAACGTTCTCGTGCTTATCGTTCTAGTTCTCATCGCTAAGATATAAAAAAATAGCACCGAGATTTGGACGCCGATAATTTCTATAATCATATTTTCAGTATTTGAAAGATGACGAAAACCCTCAAAAATCAAAGCAACTAGAAACGACTATCAAACAGTGCAATTTTCGCTTATTTTCTACATCGAATGATTTTTTTTTTGAAGAATTACGCACGAACCGATGGGGCGTCTTACGCTTCGCACTTTATTGAATAATATAAAAAATCTACGCTGTCACGCTAGGTTAGTGAAATAATGTTAGTATTTATGTCATATAATTATATTTTATATCGGTACATAATTGGTATATCTCTACTGGGTGGTGCAATACCAACACCTATACGAGGCAACACTTGGGTTGGAATTGTTTCTATGACTTCAAGTTTGTATTCCATATATCGCAAGAGCATGGCTACACATGTTTTGATTTCATATTTTGCAAAGAATCGTCCGGGACAAATACTCTTACCACCTCCAAATGGCATGAAACCCGGAACAGTCTCAGCTTTCTTATTCAGAAACCGATCGAAGACAAATGTGGTTGGTTCTGGAAACATATTTGGATCAAAGTGGCTTGCACCACCAAACCAAGCGACAGTTTCATCCGGCTTGATATTTAAGGTGCGTCCATCCTGTAAGACAATCTGAGTTTCTCGAAAACATTTTCTCGTCATAAAAGGTGCGCCGACTAGTCGAAGAGTTTCGTTTATTGCGCTTTCCAAATAAGCGCATAAATCTAACTGCTCTGGTGTCCAGTCTTCCGCAAGAGAATCATTATCATCGGCATTCAATGGAACATCTGGCAGATGTGTGTTAATTTCTTCTTTGATAGTCTCAAGAGCTTTCGCATCTCGTAAAATATAGAACAGTGACCAAAAAACGCCCGGAATAGTGTTACCTAATGATGCCCAAAAGAAACCCGTTAGAAGACCACCATAATCTTCATTCGAAAGCCAATGCGAATTGTTGGATAAATGCGCTAATCGATCCCGATGAAATTCTGATGCATGTGGTGGATCTCGATTTTTGAGCCACGAGGCATTTAAGCGAGAACGTGCTTTCAACTCGCGTGGCAGGAACCATGAATAGACCCAGCGAGGAAAGGGTATGATAAAATAATGAAAACTCTTGTCGAACACACGAAAATCGTTTTCAAGCGAAGATGGATCGATTTCTCCAATCAGTGCAAGAGTTGAAGGTTGATAAAGCATATGATGACTGAATTCTAACAGACCACTTGATATCCAATTTAACACAGTACCATTCTTTTCAAGTGCTACTTTTTCATTTTTCATTAACTTGCGCGTCCGACGAACAAATTCAACAACCATCGGGCGAAGGCCATCGCGATTTTTCAAATGTTGAACATACAAACGGTGGCCGTCTGCATCAAACTCTGGTTGATCTTCGAAGTATTTATGTTTTCTTATTTTTCTATATTCATCTAATAGACTGATACTTACTAAGAAGGGCAGGGGATATACCGAATATTTTTATACCGAAATCAATTCCGTCAAATTTCAGTGATTGATTTCGTATAATGGTCATCCAATCGGCATAGGATAATATCATTGTAAATCGTTGTTTAAGCACTTTTATTCTGAAGCATTGACCGTATTGTTGACCACATTCTAACAAGAGCTTCGTTCGACAACGTAGGAAAGAAAGCAGATGACCAATAACAGGATAGCTTCCATATGTGGCATATGGAATCGATGAATCTTCACCATCATTGGATCGTAAAAAATAAGCCAAAACTAAAATGATAGCAGCCATAACCAGACTACCAACTAAAATAGCCATTACCGCTCAACTTTTATAATAGTGTCTAAAATATGATGTAGACATATTTTATAGTGACAAATTAATTAAAAAGTCTTATCAGTGGCCTATGAAAATATTTCATCTGAGTAAATAAGTTCGTTGCTAGACTTTTCTCATAGTTAATGAAAATGAAACTAATCGTATCATTTATTTACCTTGATCAATTAATACAAACAATCGATGGATTTATTTAAGCTCATAGAACAAACCATAAGGTAATGCCAGTAAAATAGTAACGATAGCTAGCCGATTCGCATCATTTTATATTGGCGGAGGCCGTCACCATGTGTTTTTTTTTGCGCGTTCTATTGCTCCAAATACTTCATAGAATAAAAACAATCCAAAGGTTACAAAACACAAAAAAAAAACTGATGTCTGTCGCATCTGAATGATGTTTTTTTTGCGTATAGTTGCTTCGAACATTCTTAGAGAACGAAAAAAATAACGAGTAAAATGATAGATTTACAATAAGCAAATATTTCTTCGTAGTTATTTTTCGCTCCTTACGCGTCCTACAATCACAAACGGTCGTCGAGAACGAGGGTGAGGTTAAAGTAAGATGAGGACAACATACTTTGAGTATGAAAATATGTTAAAGTACGAAGATACTTTGGGCTACATCAGAATGCGTTAAAGTAGGTCCAGGTACGTCAGATCACATCAAAACTATGTTCAAAAAATTCAATTATGTCAAAGCATCGTGAAGTTCGTGTAAAGAAGAGCTATGAATAAATCAAGTGAGGTCAAATGATTACAATTTTAATCCGATCGATCATTTTCGATGATTGGATAAGCTTGTTATCCGTGCGAATATATCAGTGAAACCCTGGATGATTTAATAATGTTCGCGATATATGCCATTCCGTGACAAAGGAAGCTGTTTTAATGCTCCTTGTAATGCGAGGACATTCACAACTTGCAGCCAGTGCATTAAAGTTCTATGTTTTCATCACTTCTCTCTTGACGGGCATAAACATTTTTAGTCTATTTAGTTATCGTATTTAACTCATTATTTTGATTAAACTTTCGTCATGAAAACATTTGTGGTAACTACCACTGAATTGATATTCACCAAGGTTTCAATTTTTAGATAAGCACGTGGTCTCATAGATCAAAGTTTAAGTGTTATCAGACAGAGCCTCTTTAGCTGTAGAGCCTAGAGATCGTCGAGTCCACTTTTTTTTGGACCCGGACCTGGTCAGTTAAACTTTTCTCTACTCGGACCCGGACTCGGTCAATTGGACTTTTTCGGACTCGGACCCGACCGGGTGAGGGTCCGGGACCTACCCGATGGACTCTAGTAGAGTCTGACAGAACCCGTTTTTTGAGTTAACCTGTATTTTATTATATAACAAAGCACTTTTGTGAAGATGGCATCATTTTTAGAGAATTTTTTGGGAGATGTTGTACTTTTGAGTACAACATCAATATTATGATCTCTTCTTCATAATATTGATTGACAAGAAACTTTTTGCGTTTTTTTCGAAAATTCTTTTTTATTTTTTAACTTCAAGAATACAACTAGCTTTCAACAACGTATGCTCCATTACTATCTATGACTTGTCGCCAACGCTCTGGTAGAGAAAGGATCCCGCATTCATAGAAGCCGTGGGACTTTTGGCCAAAGAAGTTGAGGAGGTCCATTTTGAAGTCGTTCTCGTCGTCGGATTAGACAGAGAACGATACATGTGGTAGTCCGTCGGAGCCAGGTCTGGAGCATAAGGTGGATGTAGAACCGTAACCCGTCCGAACTTCAATAATTTTTCACGCGTCGACTTTGCAATGTGACGTCTGGCGTTGTCATGCAAAAAATAAATTCTATCCTGCTTCCCCTGGAGTTTTGCTGCAACTCGGTCCAATTGTTGACACTAGAGATCAGCAGTGATGGTGCAGCCAGTTGAAAGAAGTTCCCAATGAATAATCCCTCTTACTCTCCCTCAAACGCTCAGCATAACTTTCTTTGGATGTTGCTACACCTCTTTGTCCAGCTCCCAGCCACTGTTGCTTGCGCGTGTGGTTAACATACAACACTCACTTTTCATCGCCAGTAATAAGATTGTGGAGCCATTGGTAGTTGTGGTGAGATGTCATTAATTCCATACAAGCATCGACCCTGTGTTGGAGCTGATGCGGTGACAGCTCATGTGGTAACTCCGTATTTCCATGTTTTGCCTAATTCGTGCAGATGTGTTTCCACTTTAATATGAGAGCACCCAAGTAGCTCTGCTAAACACCGTGTAGTCAATCTAGAATCTTCTTCGATAAGCTGCTTAAAGACATCCATATCCGCCTGTAATGGTCTTCCGGTATGAGGTAAATCGTTGAGTTCGAAGTTAGCGTTCTTGAACCGATTGAACCAACGTTGCGCTACGGATGGAGAGTGCATCCTTACCCATCGTGCTGCATATGTTGCTTCTGTTGCTTTGCGACCCAAACGAAATTCATGAAGAAGAAGCGCTCGGAGTTCTCTACGAGATATCTTCATTTCTAATTCGAGATCAACGTCCATATCCATAGTTTTGTTGTTGCTCGAAAGACATTTGTACTCCCTTTATATACCCTTAGTATGGAAGCTTCTAGAACTTTTAGAACTTTCTCTCTGTTCTAGGGAAATTAAAAAAAAATTCCTTTGATTGATTCTCTGGAAAATACTTATTGTCTGATTATGCTAGGTTTTTCATACAATTTAATCAACGTTTTGTCGAAGTCACTATTAATGAATGTTTGAAATGGCGCTTAATGATTAGTGTGCGTAATCAATCAGTAAGACAAATCGAATACTGATCTGCGATATTGATTATTTCTTTTGCTGTCTTGTTTTTTGTTGCTTGTTCTCAGAGATCTTGTGAGAGCAGAGAAAAAAAGGGATTTACCGAATGTATTCAACAATATGTAATCTTAAAGATGGAATCGACAGAAGTCATTGCACCTTCTCCTTGAGTACCATAAACTATAGCAAAATAATATAAAGAAATATGTCTTTGATGTTACAATATGTGACTAGGAGTAACAAAATCCTAATCACTGAAAACAAGAAAAAAAAAGAAAAGAAAGAGTGTGAGAGAGAGGGCTAGTAAGAGAGATTACATAACTTTTAGAGTTAACATAATATTTATCTGTCAACAGCAAATCTTAAGGTTTCATCAATGTATTTAACAACTAAATGATAGATAACACAATAATTATCTTTAGAAATTGTGTTAGTTAACAATAACAGAGTTGTTAATGAGTAATCTGGATTTGATATCGAATCATTTATTGATTTGAAAAGTGCAGCACGCTGTACGTTGTAAAGAGAACAATATACTAAATAATGTTTTACTATTTCCTTCTTCCCACATAAACAATTTTTGTCAAGCACTAATCTTTTGATATAAAGATCATTATTTAATGACGAGAAGTTGTATCGCATTTGGTAGTATAGTTTATCTATTTCACGCTTAACACCGTAAACTCGAAAGACCCTTAGAACCTCTATTTGTGAATTAAGTTTTGTTTTAAAGGTACTTAAAGTCTTACATGCTCGCAACTCATCGTTTAATTCGTTCCATTTTTTGATTGCATACGGAAAAAAAGACATTTCAAATGTTTTACTCATAAGACGCCTCTCTGTTTTCCAGTTACCCTGAATTTTCATTTCTACCTGAGTTCTAGTCTGATGATTATGATTATGATGTAGAAGAGAAATTTTGTTTGCTAAAAGACTAGGTGTTAATCCTCTCACTACCTTAAACATAAGGAGAATTTAACATAAGGAGTTGAACCGTAAAGTAATATAGGATACGCATAACACTTATAAATTTGATCTAAAACGGTAGTTTGAAATTTGTTCTTATACTGGTATACTAAATACAAGATTTTGTTACATCTTACAACTACGTAATCAATGTGTTTTTTCCAATTTAATTGAGGCGTAAAAAAAAGATGCCTATTATTCAGTTCCTCATGTTGATTATGTTGAATCATTTATCAATAGTAACGTTCCTGTTCATAATAACGGTATGAATCAATCATATATATATCGTGATCGAAGGGCCAATCCATACTTTCCTGTGAATCAATGGTTTAAATTACGTGATAGATCGAAATGTGATTGTCATGAAGATCATTAACTTGTTCCAGTTGTAAACAGTAATGATGATTATTCTCTTCCTGATGTTATTATTAATCATATTATTGATTACTGGCGATCCGTTCCAGCAAGTAATCATCTTTTCTTTCCTGATGATATTATTGATTCTTTCGATGATTTTATTTCTTTTCCAAGTCCGTATCGATTTTCTGAAGATGCTAACGCAAATAATATTGATGATTTTGATCATGATCCGGCTTATGTTGAAGAAAACTCAGAAGATGATACATTTGAATAAAAACAACTAACTGAAAATCATTAGTCGAACTTATCAGAAGACCACAAGATAAGCGAGTTTGGCTGTACATTTGGTCTTGAGAAACATACTTATGTGTTTATACTTACCTCATTGCAGGCACGTCTGGGAATCTCAGAAACATGTGGATCATAGATAATCGCCTACGCTGATCATCACGGCAAGATTCGCTTCATTCCTCACTGAATCCCAACTTCAGAAAAGTCGGTTTTTCGGCTGTTACCGTCAAAAATTAAAAACCGTATATTTAACTCATTTCTCGTCCAAAAAGACTCAGATTTTCAGGGAATGATTAGGAGTGATCATAGAATGTATATCTACTGCTATTATCTGAGATTGGATGTCATAGTGTGCTTCGGGAACGATAAACTGTCGGATTTTGTCTCGAAGGGTATACCGTGGTAAACCTGACTGGGAGCCCTGATTTTTCCATAGATATACGGCTGTCGATCTGCAGTTCCTCTTTAGAATGGTGAAAACTGCAGATCTCTATCACCTTTCGTTTAAAAGTTATAAGCAGTTTGCTATTTAATATATCTAAAAACGAAAACCCATAACCTAGAAACGGTGTATGAATTTGGAATTCATTCACATATTTTAAAAGTAGTATGTGTCTGCTACAATTTATTTACAAAGGGCAAATTGAGATGTAATTTTATTTAAATAAAAAATTGATTTCATTGTCGCTGGGTGTTAGCTAAAATCATTCATCAGATCGCCGAGGCATTGTGTATCGCTAGTTATCGGAATGTATTAAACTAGACAACGTAGTAGCTGTAGTAGCTGTTAAAGGATAGAAAATAGAACTTATATCTCAAAAAACTAAATATGAACGCATTTTCACATTTTAATTTTTTTTGTAATCGGGCTGAATCTTTTGACATATCCAACTATTTAACAAACGAAATAACTATACTTTCCCTTTTTTTAACTAGGAATTATATACATAATTCTTGATGACAGCTATTACACGCATTAATTTGCCTTAGAACTGTATCAACCTATACATATGCGTTGAACTTACTCACGTATAGATATTTGAATGAATTGCAACGGCATTGTACCGTTAGAAAAATTTTTTTTAAAAATCAAAGCTAAATAGAAAAGAATTCAGAGATATGTATTCGATAGGGTAATGTCGATTGTCTATGAATATAATATTTTCCCTACACTTGGTGCAGCGGCGACCGTGAATCAGAAGATTTTCTAGAGTTACGGAAATCCTTAGGGTTTTGACGAAACAAAACGTTATTTCCCAGATGAAAAGTAGAATTGTCATATATCGTTCGAAAGAACTCGTTAATGCGCATCGAATGGGAGACCGGCCTGATTTGAGAAAATCTGCAATTACGCAATATCTATATAGGGCCCAAAATTTTACAAACAATACATAATGAAAATTATGTATTGTTCGAAAACATACCACTGGATAACCCTTGAAATTCTCTACAAAGTGAGCTAGTCACAATATCCAGACAGGTCGGACCAGCCATTAAAGATATGGAAAAGAAGCTTTTGGGTGTTATCTAAGCAGTACAGTGTGTCATAATCACAAGAACTCTCTTGTTTTTGACCTTTTAGTAAAAGCTAGAACCAATCTGAATAATGTTTTGAATAGCCCGAAGATTTTTCTATCAGATTAGGTATATATCGGCCTTTCATGAGAAAAGTTGATAACAGAGCTTCTTGAAAACCTGACCGTTGAAAAACCAAGTCCCTAGTTTTTAGTGAGAAAATTTTGCAAACCATATAGCCTGGTAGAGCGAAAAATTGTGAGCAAAATAAGACTTCTCCCGGCATTCAATAGCGCTTTTTCACGCAACTGCAGTCGATTTTATATAGATGAAATTATAGCGCGAGAAATTGTCTATCGAATGGTATATCTATCGTAGTGGCTACTTGAGAAACGTTGATCATAGGATCCTCACCGTGGATTAAGTCACCCGCACTTCACGGCTTTCCAGACAGTATTTCTAATGTCAAGGGGTCCTAGGACACTGCTTTCACTATCATATATATATGAAGTTGTAGCGCAAGAAATTCTCTATCGATTGGCACGTCTATCGTGGTGGCTAGATGATAAAGGGTGTCATAGATTATCTTAGACTTTTTGCACATAGAAGACTATTTTTCATAGACGAAAGTATTTCTAAACATACTTGGCCTCAGAACGACTATTTCCGTATACGTGATAGCTTTTTTATTCAGCTTTTTTCTGAACACAACCAAGGTCGCGATTATCTTGCAAGTATTTAACTTGATAAACTGTAAGAGACTGACAGCTATTAAGAACAGTTAGTTTCGACAAAATATTTGTCATTATCAAGAAAACATATAGTAGCAGTAATATTAACGTAAGGAAAACTGGATACAAGGACTCTATGCAGAATATGTATATATATATATATGCCAGACAATGCTTGCGAAACATCTAGATAGTAGATACAATTACAACCAGGGAGAGAGAATTGTTTCGTCACAGATAGAAAGAAAAAGAAAATTGATTTTAAATGAAATCAAGCGTGCTACATTCATCATATAAATTATACGTGTACTTGTTAATTCTTTTAAAGCACAGATGATGGAACAGCAGCTCCGATGTTAAGTTGGGATTGCCCGTCAGAATAACTGAAAGCTAGTCTGACTGTAAGACTAGCTTTTTCATGATGATTGCGATCATGTCATCCCCAAATCCGCTTTCGCGACTCATTCGCGGCACGGTCGCGCTGTCAGGACCGCGATCGCTATGATATCCCGCAGGTCGCGATGAAATCCTGTATTCATGTCGCGATCGCGATCTATTCTTAAACTCGCGGCGTGATCTTGATCAAATCTTACTTTCGAAAAGAATTTTTCTTCAAGACTGCGTCGACAGTCATGGTTCCATGGCTCGCTTCAAGATCAGAAACTGCTAAGGAGCAATTAAAGTAAACGAATTTTAAAATTCGCAACGCGGCTCACGCCACGTACTGGAATTTTGTTGAAGATAGTGAGTAACTTTTTGAATTACAAGAACGCAAAAGAATTCTTTTTCTGTTATTTTAAAGTGAGCATTTATATATTTGGTATATAGAAATAGAGTCCGCATTTGTTTCTATCAGATATAGTAGACACGTGTAGCATTGAAGATGTGTTTTTGTTATTCTCACTTTACATGTGATACAAAAAAAATCAGTGTACGTTATGTACGAACACTTCATATTTTCTTAAAATGGTGTGCAGACTAATTCACACTCGAATTTTTTGCAGTTTATATCTACTTTTTTCACTTTTTCTAAGGGAATCGCATGAGAAAATAAGTAATTTATATACAAAGTAAGTACACAGTAATTTTAAAATATATGAACTTCTACTATGTGCAGCTTCGTTAAGTATGTTAACTTCGCCAGGTCTCAAAATAAAAATGCACTGAAGTGAGAAATGCATCAAAGGTGCAATCGTGAGTATCCCCGGTGTAAGATCGCTTAAGTACTTAGTCTAGAGATTCTCTCTATATGCTCCAAATATGAGCTCAAAAGCGGTGAATCACTTCAAACCGTTCCCTCGTTAGTTTATTTTAAGCACATAGAAAGTGACAGACCTGTAGTATTCCAGTAATTTATCTAGTATCTAATTTGGTCGATGTTTAACCAGTAGTCTTCGTATCATCTGTACACCTGAACGTATGACAAGGTAGATATGTTGCCTATATACTTCTTAGAACCACTACTCATCACAGTTTTCTCAGTCTTCAACTTTATTATCATTTCATTCAAAGTTACTGGTACCAAGCTGAAGGACACTTGGTGTCCGGAAAATTCTGGGAGAGACTCGGACTCACCCACCGTGTCTCCGCTATGAGTAGTTGTCAACAACAACAACCTAGGAAATCTCAGAGTGCGAAAAAAGCACCAGGAAAATCAGTTGCTCGTCAAATGATAAAAATACAAATTGCTATTCATAAAAAAGAAACAACAACTTTGGTTTAAAAAAATAATAAAAAATATTCGTTATTGCGCAACATATATCCAGCGACGAAGTGGTAATTAAATTAAAAATGATATAGTCGAGAGAAGAAGTAAAGAACTGCTATCCTTTACTTCATCTCTCGACTGTTTTGATTTGATACTGCTCTTCCGAATCAATTTATTAAAAGGATAAAAAAAGATGTGTTTTTTAAGAATCTCACAATTCGTACTAGGTTTCATTAAGATTTAACACTTTCTTTTCCACTCTGTAATCTCCATCATACATTCTCATTTGTTTACTGTCAGTACTATAGTATCCCAGAGCATCTGTCGCAGTTCCATCTAACAAATCTCGACAGTCAACGAGTTCTTTAATGACTAAGTTTAAGCGTTTAATCAATTCATCTTTTGTAGGCCATTTCTTATTATACATCAGCAATGCTTTTAGTTGTTCTCGAGCACGCCAAGATTTATGCAGCGTAAACTCATAATTAGTTGTTGGTTCCATACGGAACGTATCATAACGAGTTTTTTCTATGGCAAACGGATTTCTTGACATGTAAGAATTAACAACCGTGATTCTAGGTTCGGTACCTGCCATAACTGGTTTAACTCTATGTTGAACTGCACAGCCTTGCATGAAAATGACTGAACCTGGTCCATCAAATTCAATATTTTTAACATATTCATCAGGTACATTTCCATTATATTGTGAAATTAATTTTGATGCTTCTTGTTTTTCTCTCTCAATCAATTGAAGTTCACCGCCAACCGTATTAGTCATGTCACAAGTAAGAATTATAATAACAAATGGAACACTGTCTGTATGCCATTGATCCACACCCTTATCCGGATCAACTAAGCCAATATTTGTGTGACTATATGTCGACTTTAAGGTAGTTACCATTAAAGGTTCTCCGCATAATTTTGACAAATAGTCGCGAACAACGGGACATCGATTAAAATCTTTAATCCATTGTGATCTATAGCCAATAGATTGAATATAATTTGGCTGACGTAGATCTCCTTGACAATTGACAAATTCTCGTTTGATTATTGCTTTTAACACTGAATACCCTTCGTCACTTAGAATACGAAAGGGAGCAGTATATGCCAATGGATACTTGTCATTTCTATCTGTAGATATATATTTCACCTGTTGAAAATTATTATTTAATAAAACAACAAAATCTGGTTCAGTGAATTTCAAATGAATTTGTGGATCATACAAGGGCTCATTTTCTACCATAGAAAAGGCTTCGTACTGCAAATCAGCCGATTCAAATACATCGCCAACAAAATATTGCCAATCCTCTTCTGACTGGAGTTCTTCATATTGAATATGTCTCACATTAGCCATTTGCATAGTTTTCAAAAACAATTATCGAAATATTTATATAGAGAGACATGTTATTATCTTTTGTTTCACCTTTAAAGTTAAAATTTTCTCGTACCCATATAAAAAAGAAACAGTAAAGATAAAATAAACGGTGACAGCATGCCTTTCTATATAAATATTTTGAAATAATTGTTTTTGAGAACTGTGTAAGCGGCTAATGCGAGACGTATTAAATATGACGAAAACCGCCGGGTGAGATTTGGTAGTATCTTGTTGAGTTGAGTTGTTGCCTTCAATGCTATGGAAAACTATCAATCTATCGGTTATTAACGCGATTAATACCATAAGCTATCTAAACGTACTGTGTATTTGGCTTATAATATGCAGTATTACAAGTGTGCAGACACTTTTCCTATAACCTACAAAGATCCCTTCATACTTCATCTTTGGAATAATAATCGGATACATGTTTCAAGTTAACCAAAGTAGCCTAACAGTGACCGCTTGATTATACAAGTTGAGAGAAATGATATTTTACAAAATTAGTTGAACGGCTTGTCCACGTGACGCGACACTTCGCTGATCAAGTATTTTTTGAATCTTTTTCATCGGAAATGTGCACGTGAACGAATGGAGTGTAATAGTGTCACTGGCACTTTTGCCGCAGTTGTACCGGCTGCCTCCCTGAACTTTGGGGGAAAATTTTTGAAAATCAGCGGCTGCAGCTAACATGCAGTGTGCATCCCGGCCAGGTTTTGGTGAGAAAATGAAAGTTGATTTGTCAATGATTCAAATAGTGATTAATATACTTTGAAAAATGTTTTTTTGATTTTGGACTCGTCAAGTAGGAAAAATAATGTAAAACATTTTCCTAGCGGGTTTTTTCAGAACCTATCTTTGGTAGAATGAATGCGCCCCCCATAGCCCAACTCGAAACCGGTTTAAACTTTCGCAAAACGTTCTGCTATATACTAGCTGTTAGCACAGTTAGCATAAATTAGCATAAACTCTTGAGTTGAGATATAAGTTGTTCGAACTGCCAACATTATGGTATGAGTGCGTTTATAACTTAAAGATATTGTATTAAGTTCTTACAGACCCATATTCCTTTAATGTGATTCTATTTTATTTCGTTATTTTATTTCAAAGAAAATCAAGAACTAGAGAGAAATTTTTCATGATTTTGCAGTCGACCTCACTGTTGGGGTGTCGCTAGGCAACAGTGGAGTAGAGTAAATATATGAAAAAAAATCTACTGTTCCACAGCAGTAAACCATGGAACTCGTGATTGGTTAAGTGTTCTTTTTAACATACAAATGTACTGTTTTTCTATTAATTTTTTTCCAGACCAAATCAATAGCATGAATAGCTGTAATAAATAGTATTTATTTGCAACAGATCTCATTGAATAAAATTTTGCCACAGAAAAGATAGCTTCTGACGACTAAAAGCTATGACGTCATCGACTATGGCGGTAGGTTCATAACAAATAAACAGACACTCGCGTGTGCTTCTTTTCTTTTTGTGTGTATTATTATGCTTTTTTAATGAACTGGAAGAAAAGAGAAAAGAAGGAATCTTTATGTGAAAATAAAACAGTGTGTAGGTATGCAACGGTAGCGGTAGTTTACCGGTTTACCGTAACCGGTACTACCGCTACCGCCCTTATCGATCCACAAGTTTTATCGTTCATTGCAGACAGATAGTATCGATTCTAGAGAGAGTGAAATTCTGTAGAGCATATGACGATGTCGTTATTGTAACAGATTTTGATGCTTTATTCTACGTTTTATTTTTCTCTGCATTTTATTGGCTTAAGCAGTCTCAAATAAGAAGAAGAAATAATGATTTTTATCGTTTTGTTTAATTTTGTTTTTACATTAACAGTGGATGAAACCTGAGCCACTCGCAAAATTTAATTTCGGCTTACTAAGGTTCACGAATTTTGGTTCTTTCATGTGTCTATGAGTTATTAAAGGCTGAGTTAAGTTACATTTGTAACTGTGTGATTTTTTACAATAAGTTTTATCCGGAAAAGGTTACCTACGGTGACCGGTAAAACGGTATAGGTAGTACCGGTAGAACGGTAGCGGCAGTAGCGTTACCAGCTTTACCGCTACCGTTGCATGCCTAACAGTGTGTATCTGTCTAAAAGAAATCGTGTATGAATGAGTAGTGAATGAGGATGTCAAGGACGAGATTAACGACATAGAGTATGGTTCACAAAATTGTATAAAGTTTGAGTTAGAACTAACAATCACAACGAATCGGTATTCGAAGATAGGAACTCCGACACTTGATCAAGGCATGGAACGTCTTTGAAGGACCCTGTTAGATAGATGTCTGATCGCGAAGTTAGGCATCAATTGCATGGACGATAAAATACTAAGTTTTTCTTGCTTGTTAATTCACTTAAAAACAACAAAAAAAAAAATCTTTATCTCTTCATTTAATCTTTATTTTTAAGACTCGCTTATGTTTATTTTATAGCAACTTTATTTTTTTTTGCGATTTTTCTCAAACGGTACAATGTCTGTGCTCTTCACTCACGTATGTGCGTTAGACTGTTGCAAAAACCTAGAAAAAGTTTGAAAAGGCGAACAATTGGCTAGAAACCAACTCTTGATGCGGTGCACAAACAGAGTTCATGGGAGTTCTGTAAAAAATGAGTACTTTTCAAAAGAAATCTGAAAAAGTTGGAAGAACTCGAAAATATCAAACGATGACCATTTTACGCAGTTTGTGAATGTATTGCCGCATATACACGAGAAAAATCAAGTTTTTTTAGAATCTAAAATTAAGTCTTTTTGAATATGATCGTACCAAGTGCCTGGATTTTCAAAAGCTGAGCTTAGTTCGAATCTTGCTTCGAGCCTCGCAAAAGCGGGACCGGCATTGATCTTGTCTAGCTGTGATCGGACAAATTCGACTTAATGTCCTTAGATTCGGATGGGATCACAAGTTTAGTAGAAAGAATGATTTGTCAAAGATAATCTCACAAGATTTCATCAACAATTTTCAATATTATTCCCAGTTGTAGCTCGGATTTTTGTCTAAAATGCTCACTTCTTATGTAATATAAAAAGCTCCGTTATTACACAGTCTGGTGTAAAAATTTGTTACGTAAGCATGATGGTGATATCAGATTGAGAAACCTTTTTCTGCTAATGTTGTTGATATTTTTCCTAGCGACTTTGATAAATTATCAAAAAATCAGTTACTGGCGAAAGCTGTGCAGAATTGATCGCTTGAAAACGATTCTTCTCCTACCTAACATTTCGATACGACAAAATCGTTAATACCGATTCAGCAACTTTATTTACATTTTTTATTGAAACTGAGAAGTGAAAATATTGTTAGTGCAAATGGTACGGCTAAAGTAAACGATTCTATAAAAAATATTGTAAATACGTTACCAGAAACAGTTGTTCAAAGTTGCAACGTTTCATCGAGCGATCCTCGTATACAGCAGATTTTAGTTTCCATAAAAGATATCTTTTCCAATTCTTGCCCATCTAAACATACTTTTATGAAAAAATTGTGAAGAACTCTTTAATCTTAACTTATTCGACCTGTTGAAATGAGGTTTTCTAGTGGCAAAAAGTTTTCTACATTCCTTTTCCTCAAATTTTACTTCGTTTATTAAACAACAAAGTTTTTAGAAAAAATTTAATGGAAGGGCTTAAAAAGACTCAAGCTTTCTCAAATTCAGATTTAATGTATTCGTACAAAGATGGAAATATTGCCTATCTTACGTTGTGACACTAGAAATCAATTCTTAATACAACTATACGCAGATAAACTAACTTGTTGCTCTCCTTTTCGCGGACGTCAAACTAAATACAAAATAAATCTTATATATTTCAGATTGGACAATTTACCTGCTGAATTTCAGCAACCTTTACTTAGTAAACTATGAGACAGCATTGAATATCGAAACTATTGATGCATATTTATATTATGTAAGCTATATCGTGAACTATGCTTGAATCGAAACTAAAAGGCATTATATATCTACCATAGTGCTCCGTTATCGTCGGATTACACTGATGTTATTCGCGTTCAAAATAACATTGGAAGATGCAAAGAACTTTTACGGCGTATTCAAATGGTACGGAATTCTTTTTCTTCGACTTTGAGAACCCATTACTCTTCTCAAAACGATCTGAACTTGATGAATTTTTTAACAGAACTAGAAGATGCATAGTTCCAATAGGACCAAAAACTTCATTCACTTTTGATGATCCTAAGAGGAGTTATAGCAGACACAGAGAGCGTTACAGAATGTACCAAAAAAAGACTTTTTTCGAGAAGCTTCTGAAGTTTGACTTTGAAGCTTTTAAAAGCACAAGCTCTTTCGAAGAACTGCGCAAAAGTATATGCAGTTGCTCAGGTTTAACCATCTTTAGAAAAACTCACAAAAGACATTTTAGAATAACAGCTTTGTACACTTAGCAGAAATTTTTATAGTTACATTCACAGTTGAAACTGCTCTTTCATCAAGTCTGTCGATTCGCCGGTGTCTGTGTCGCCATTGTCGGACTAATTTGTGTCAGTAGTCCACCATACTGCCGTCTCATCCAACTGACCAAAACTCGTTTCAGTTCCGGTAGGCCAACAAGTCCGACGAATGGACAGAGTACAATAACTAGAGCGTACAAGTAGGCGAGATACTGATTGTAAGCTATTTGTACTTCTTTCAGATTCGGTTGATAAATTGAAAACATACTCGTGATAATAACTGGTAGCCATGTGATTGAATAGAGTAAGGAGACAGCGACCAATTGAACGACTAACTTGACATTCTTCTTCCACATCTGCTGCTGTTTCATCTGACGTTTCTGTGACAGAACTTTAAGGATCAGAAGAGCATTGACTATGACTGATAGAAATACAGGAATTGCAATGTTGATTAAAAGATCAGTTGTGCCGAAAATAGAGTTGTACTGGTAGCAACTGCCGCCACACCAAATGACCTTGTAATTGAACTGTTGTTCACAACGGGTGTAGAGTACAATGAC